CAAAACAAAACAAAACAAAACACAGAATTGAATTTTTAAATCCTCTTTAAGACTCAAGACGCTTGAGGAAAACATCATACAGAGCAGATAAATTCCTGTTGCGGGAGCTGCTCGGTGTGTGGATCAGTCTATTTTCAGGTCTGCTTAAATTACAGGCACCATACCTCCAATTCCTAGCCAACTTCACTGTCCACTGCTTCTGTTGTTGTTGTTTGGAAAAGAACTTGCATCATATGAAGCATGAAATCAGATTTCAGTGCATCCAAACTATTAACGTTGTTGGTGTGTGCTGAATAGGCGGAGTCAACATTTAAACCGTGTCAGCTGACGCATGAATTGCTCAGTTCAAGCCTATGACTGATACAAAAACAACAAGGTCATTCCTACAGTGCAGGCACAAACTGAAAACTAAAGTCAGTTTGTCTTTAATGCCAGCTGGTGATTGCTGGTATCATTTATTATTTCTTTAGCATTTTCTTTACCACATCTTATAATTATTTTATTTATATCATATTATATTATATTACATCTCTCAGTGCACTAATCAAACACCCCATCAGATCCATGGGATTTTGAAATACATGCTATTTCCTTGCCCCTTTTCGTCTCTTTTTGCCATCTTCTAGGAAAGAAAAGCTTCTTATCGAGTGTTTACTAATCAAAGTGTAGCTATAGTGTTAAATCAGGACCAGTGACCAGATCAACCAGAAATTTAAATCTTAAGGATTACAAACTGAAACTTGTCATATAACCTGCTTGTTTTGAGGCTAATAGATGGGTAATTACTGTGATTCTACTACAGAGAATGGAACCAGTGCTACTACTCCTACTGCTACCCCCAATCCACCAACAGCACACTCCAACTCCTCGAGTACTTCTTCAAGTAAGTCTCAGAAACTATACGATTTTTACGTCTGTCTTGTAATGTACGGAAACATCAGTAACCGATTTCTGAACTTTCATCTTAGCTGTAACTGTCACAACAGTCAGCCCGACAACCGCCCCTCACAAGAACTCGACTTTTGATGCCGCAAGCTTCATCGGTGGGATAGTGCTGGTCCTGGGGCTGCAAGCCGTCATCTTCTTCCTCTACAAATTCTGCAAGTCCAAGGACCGCAACTACCACACCCTTTGAAAAGCTCCCACTTGACCTATCCTCGCCAACTAGACCCTTCCAGAGAAAGCTCCCTGATCAGCACACACTCATCCGCGTGGTCTCAAACAGTGTTTTCAAGCAGGTTAATTTTGTAATCAATCATCTTTGTGGCGCTTGTGATTCTAGCCTCCCTTAGTGCTGCTGTTGTAGTCACTATAGAGGAACCCACGCATGCCCGTATGTGTGATAAATCAACCGCCAAACAGATCCTCAGTGACGAGGCATTCAGGCCTTGAGCATATGGATTACATCATCCGGTAGCTGCTCCCACCTCCATCATGCAGTTACTCATTTCTGCAAAGACCATTTCCCAGTGAATCTGAAAGGAAGGGGGCTTGTGTTATTTACAGCCTTCCTCCTCATACCTTCGTCAGTTAAATAGGCCACATAAGAGTTAAAAGAATTAGCCATGTATACAAAGCGGCTCAGGAGTCGTACCGCTACAGAGGTCACGTTGATTTGGAAACACTGTTTGAGATCACAACTGCTCTTTAACACGACGACTTTGATGATTCAGTTTTGCTTTTGCCCTGTTAAATTGTGGTTTCCTCCCCTCTGTGCAGCTGTATTATGTATATTTGTTCATAGATGATGTAAAAGAGGCGGGGATTCTTTTTTTTTTTTAAAAAAAAAGGGGATAAAAGCAGAACCAAATCATCCAATGTTGTGGATAAAACAAAAAAACAGGCTTATTTATTGATGGGTGTCTCCAGTAACATTTAGGAGTGCTGTGTGTTTTCTCCTGCTGAATCCCCCCCGTTCCATCCTAATATTCAAGATGTTAAAACACCAACTGCCAGCGGGGCAGCTCAGTGCAATAAATCATGTATCGAGCTTAATTCCCAGCCATTAATCTCCCAAACTTCCTGATTTTAACCGGTGTCAAATTGTCCATGCATGGGTTGCCAACGTGGAGCTGGCTGTTCTATTCTGTGGAGTAGTTGAAAGGATCAAAAATTAATGATGGTAGAATATTTGTTAAAAACAATAATGGGGAAGTTTTGGGTTGGATTTTTGTTTGTTTGTTTTAACAGTAAGTACATTTCTTGATGTACACAGTGAAAGCAGTGAAGTGCCTTTAATGTCCTATATGACTTAAAGAGAAGGAGGGGTGAGTGTTTATTAGTTTATAAGAGAGAGAGAACTGTATCGCCGTGAGAACCATCGTATTGCAGCTGGACTGAAGAGCCTTTAATGTTGGTGAATACAGTAGATGGTGATAACAGGAGGGCCTGGATCTTTTTTTTTTGGGGGGGGGGTCCACTGTAAGTTAAACAGATATTCAGTGCATGAAACCCACAGTTACTTCAGTGGTGACTTTGTAGAAAGTACTTAAAGGTACCCTAGCATCTAATTTACCCTCTAAAAGCTCGCAATTCATGTTTTCCAAGTTCAACCAGGAAGGGGGGTTTTAGAGTGGTGTTGTAAATCTGAGTGAAGACATGGGGAGAATATTGGGCGTGTTTAAAAACTTGAGAATCAGAGAGAGTGAATTGGGGTAAATGTTGGACTGTTTTGACTGTTTTGTTGTTTTTGTCAAATGAGCATCGCACCTCTTGATTTTGGATTTTTGCCATGTTAAGTGAGAGGATTGTGAATGAAGAAACAGCTTGGTGGCTGTGCTTAAAGCTTGTGCCGATTCCTCTGATTAGCTTGCTGCTAACTGTGATTATTTTCTTATCTCTCTTGTACATAGCCACATCCTGTCTTTGTTTTACTTAAGGAAAAGCTAAATGAGGTGTTTTTTTTCTGAGTTGTTGTGGTTGTTGTTGTTGTTTTGTTTTTTTCTTGTAGTTGCTTGTCAGTGTCAGGAATGTTTTCTTTAAATGCCTTTTTTCCCCTCTTGCATGCTGGATGCTTGGAGTTGTGTTTTTTCCTTCATTTGCATATGCTCTTAGGGATTTCAGCTCGACTTAAAAAAAAACAAAACAAAACCCCCCCACTTGATTATTTGTGATTAGCCCATATGCTAGTTGAAAGAATGCCTTGAATCAGTGTGCATCAAGCCAAAGTTCTCAGTTTAGGCATGGAAATTGAGCATTGCACTGACGAGCTTTGTTTTCTATCTTTGCTTTTGTAAATGTTTTCATGGTTTAGCCAAAAAAAATAGAAAAAAAATGCTTGCATAAATACTCGTCCTGAAATATTACTAGATAATGAATGAATGATCAGCTTGTTTTTTAAGACATTCAGTGGAAATGTTTTTCTTCTTATTGTTTGATTTGGTTTGGGTTTTTTTGCTTAGGTGATTTTGGATTACACGTTTTCTGCTGCTCACCATTAACACGCCTTTAAAACCTACAGTCACCTGATGGCATTAGGCTACAGCCCAAAGACCCATGTGTGGCAGGTAGGCTGCAGAGTTTTTTGCCTTAGCTGCACCCCTTCGTTCACTCTCTGTACGTGGAGTCCCTTTGGCCAATTTAAAAGTAACATTTGAGTTCATTCCCAGCTGCTGAGTGGGCTGCTGTGCAACTCTGTTCAGCGTGGTCGCTGCGTTCCTTACAAACGGGGCATCAAATGTTGATATCCATGGATAACTGATCTCCATTGTGTTTACTCTGCAACTTCTACAAGATACCTACGCAGTCCCTGCACCTTTTTAAGGAAAAGTGCCTTATTCAGTTGATTTCATAGATATATCTATAGATATATAGTTGTATTGCAAAATGATATGCCACATGTATTAAGTAACGATGGGACTCAGCACTTTCAGGCCCCTGTGAAGTGTTTTTCTGTGTCGTATTCTGCTTAAATGTCTGTTTATGTCACAATCGGCCTTAACTTCTTGATCAAACGAGCAGTGATAAGCATGGTGGGGTGGGGCGGAAGGGAGAGGTTGACTGTGTTCCATTCTTTCAAGCGATGCCATTGAAGCAGCATTTTAAGTATACAGCAGAATCAAAGGTGCTGCTTTAGTGATGTGAATCCTTTACGTTTCAGCTTAAAGCACGCATGTGACCTGGACAGCCTCTCACCAACATATAGAGATAAAATTCACCAGTAAAGTTGCAACCACAGCCACAAACCTCTAGCGTTGTAAAGTCACACTTCCTCCACGCTACAAATGGTCACATGGTGACTCCACTTTGGTTCTAATTTGCAATTGCTGCATCAGATGACCTTGCTTTCTGTCTTTTGTAAGATTTCAAATTCAAAATCCAAACTCGTTTGGTTGCGGAGTTCTCTCATATCAGTGTTCTGCTCAGAGAGAGAGATGTGTATGTTTTATTTCATTTTTTTTCCTCCTTTCTCTCGTGGGTTTATTGCTTTTGTCTGTTTTGTTAAAGGCCATCAGTCTTGTAGGTACAACCTTTAAGCTTTCCCCTCTCACACAGCCATATGTAGACTCCTGCAGGTGCCAGAATGCCTCCTAAAAAGTTTTGTGCTTATTTTGTGCCCTTCTTTTCTCCCACTTCCTCTTAAACTTTGTTTTGTTTTTCTTTTTTTTTCTTTTTTTTGCCTCGTTTCCTAGTGTTGCCTTTAATTTCACAATGTTAAACCAATAAAGTTTGAATATTGTAAAATGAATCACTGCAGTGTAACATTTGCTTGGTAGCTCGTCATTTACATCAGTGGAAAGACGATACCTGGGCAGGTCTTGTAGAGCTCTTGTCACCATGGTTACAGTTGAAAAGCCATTTAAAAGGTGGTGTATCAGTTTCTGTGTGAGTATAAGTAATACTGGCTCAAATTTAGAAGGACAGATTGTTCTGATGAAGAGGAAGCGAGCATAAATGCAAATAATTTATGCAGAAATTCAACACTAATGGCAAAATTATCAATATATTTTACATTTTCTTTCATAGCTCAAGGAGTGACTCCATATTGTATGGGTTTCCACATTGACAAGTCAAAGATCCTTGATTTGAGCCCAGGAGGAGACCCAAATCCCCTTTTGAGGTTGCTAAATCAAACATGTAGACAGCTGGTGAATAAGGGAGCAGCTGTCACGACCATTTATATTTAAAGAAAACAAAAACGAAACCCAAAAACCTAATTTGATATATGAAACGCATACTAGTTTCATTTATAGCACCAAGACCCAACAATGATACAGAGAAAACCTCAACAATGTGGCGCTGTTGAGCGAGCACTTGGTGAGAATAGGAAGGAAAAACTTCCTTGTCAGTTCTCCCAACTCTGAATGTTAATTGTTGACTTTAGAAGTGAGCATAACGGAAGCACGAGCCTTATTTCAGTATATATGCTGTATATTTAATCAGGTCTTTGGTTTGTGTGGGTCTCTTTAAATTGACAATAGAGGCAAAATGACAAACACATTAACTTTGCTTATAACAATATCAAGACTTTCTGTCAACATCTAACAGTCTGAACACATTGGTTTCTGTTTAAAGCTTCTGCTAAGGTGAATTAATCCTGCTTGTTTTCCATGGGTGGATAAAGATCTTTACTGAGCGTGTGCATACTGAATTTCAGCATTCAGCTTGTTTCTGTTTTGAGAAACTGAGAGTTACACTGTTACGGCAGTTTTCTATCTTCAGACTTTAAGCGAGGTGATTGAGCACATAGCCCAAAATGTTACAATAATCTGGAACCATAAAATTTTTAATTTGTTTGTCTGAGAAACTGTTCCAACTTTTGACCAGCTTCACCTGCTCCTCTAGGTGTGTTACTCTCTGTTTACTTAAGTCTAGTGGAAAAAGTACACTCACTGACGCACATGCTTTCTTACATACAGGATCCACTCCAATCCACCCTGCCCAATCCCTGCTCTCAATTTTAATTTCCTTGTGTATCAGGGGCTCATGACCTACTGTGAGGCTGATGGGTCATAAAGTGATAATATGGATAAGAAAGCAAAAACAAAATGTGCATAAAGTTCATTCTTTCACTTCTTCAAGACACTAAAAACCACTTCAGTGAAGCGGCTCAAGGTCAACCCTTAAAAAGTCTTGGCCTCAACACAGATCCCAATGTAGAAAAGTTAGAAAATCACTGTGGACTGTACATAGAAAGGAGAAGCAGACTCCAGTGGAGCCATTATCCACAAATGGAGAAAACTTGAAACAGTGGTGAACCTTCTCAAGAGTGACCGGTCTACCAAAATTAGTCCAAGACCGCATCACTGATTCATCCAAGGAAGTCACAAAAGAACCCAGAAGAACATCTAAAGTATTGCAGACCTCATTTGCGCAGTTACAGTCAGAGTTCATTATTCAACAGTACGAAAGTGACCGGGAAACATGGCATCCATGGGAGAGTTCAAGTAGAAAACCACTGCTCACGCCCAGTTATTAGGTTTAGGGGCAATAAGATTTTCTTTAATAATTTTCACACAGCCAAGTAGGGTTTTTTTTCTTTAATAAATGAAATCATCATTTAAAAACTGCACTTTGTATTCACCCAGGCTGTCTTTGTTTAACATTAAAACTAGTTTGATCTGAAATATTAAAGCTGTGAAAAACATGCAAAAAAAAAAGAAGAAAAAATTCCATAGACCTGCGTGTAAATAGTTTTACACTCTTGCAGCTCACTGTCACACTGTCTTTGAACGTATATACAACAGAAAGCTGAGGTAACCTTTCTCAGAGTCTCCAAAAATAACCCAGTATGTCATAAAGTATAAAGAATGACTAACACTTGCTTGATGACTGTGTTAACTATTTTTATCATTTCTAACATTGACTGATTGTGTTTTACAAGCAGCTGCAAACTTTTGAAAAAGCAGCAGGTACAAAGTAACTGCATGTCATGTACCATAACCTGTGAATAAAAACCAATGTTTCACACCACCTCCCACCAGGGCGCACATAGTTTCTCGGGTCATAGGAAAGTTTTGCTTATGTGGTAAAAACCAAAGCTCTGAAGACAATCAGTGAGCATGTGCACACTCAAGACTCACGGTCCGATGGTCTACGCTCTCGAAAAAGCTGTGTGGTTATTTTTGTCGAGCAGATTGTTATTTTTCCAGCGGCCCCGGCAGAGAGGCTTTTCCACAACCAACGCGATAATGGTTTTGGTCAGTTAAAAGCAAAATCAGCAGCCCTATACTTACTCTTTTCAGGGGCAAACACTGTGCTGCTCTATCAGGAACATCTCTGGGCCTTTTACTAGAACGTGGAAAATCCCCCCACACACTGGGAGATACTACTTTTGGATTTTTCCTTTCTAAAATTTTAAGAAAATACTGCAGTTGGAGCAACTGCTATTCAGACAAACAAGGGTTGTGCAGTCACAGGGTATCAAAGTTGCAGGGTCAGGAGAGTGGGTGGAGCTGCTGCATAAGTGGACATGGGTTGGGTCTTGAGTTGCCGTAGCTAACCTGATTGTTGTGTCCAGTCATGCTGTGTAATCTAATATGGGAGGACAGAGAAACAATGCATTAGGTGTAGTCTCTCGTCTCTTGCAAACACGAGCTCAGTGCATTGTTTAACCATGCAGTGAACTCTGCATCATGCCAAGAATACCAAGACCGAGCAATGTTAGTGACATAATGAAATGAATGCAGTAATAATCTAATAATATCTCTTGAAAAAGTCTTGAAAATTTGCTCATTTCAAATCCATGTGACTGCATTACACATCTAAAGTTACTTTAGAGTAGATCAGAACTTCTATTCGTGTATTAAACTTGATGACAGAATAGCAAAAAATGTTGACTAAGGCCCGATAACGAGGAGATAAGTTGAGGAATGCTATGAGGCAGCTTCACATGTGGTTATTTCCCCCATTATAAGTGGCTGACTCAAATAAACAGCACATGTGTGTGTGCAAAAGGCATGCAGCAAATTTGCCATGTCATCTGACCAGCAAGCACTGGAGAACAGAGCTGTTTCAGCTGTGCAAAGAAAAAAAACCCAGTATGTGGCAACAAAAAATGGGTTCCTCCTACATGCATACAACGAAAAACCCACATCCGTTTGATCTGTGGTCAGTGCTCCATTTATTCAGCTGTTCGACCTGCTGCTGTTCGGGGTGCATTTAATCCCTCTCAATTATGCACAGCGGGGAGACTGGTGCTGCCAGCAACATTACAAAGTTAGAGTTAATTTATCCATCCAATAGCACGACTTGCCAAAGGTGAAAAGCTTCTGATTTAAATATAGAACAGGCTGTCCAGTGCCATCTAGTGGTTGTACGTAAACAGTGACAAACATAAATGTGAAAGAAAAATAAATCTGCAATGTGTAGAAACAATAGCCTTTATTAAAAATAAACAACTATGATTACATAAAAGTTATTTAATCCAGCTCATTAGCTCCTTATGGCACATGACTCATTAACATTACTTTTAAATTGGGTTAAGATCATGGTTCACAAACTACACCCTATGAAGGACAGTGTATATGCAATACTTTATTTAATAAGCACTGTGTAGAATGCCTTATTTCCTCTCCAATGTGTTACTAAAAATGTCCAGAGGTCATCTGAAGAGCAGAGAAAAAACAAACAAACAAAACCCCCCCACACATAACCAGTTTTCATCCAGCTGTAACATCCAGGCCTGCACGCCGAAGGTCTCACTGAGAAAAATCACGTTTCCCAGGAGAGGTCGTCCTGTTTGAGGCCGTTTCTGAACTTCTGTGTCTCTCTGAGAAGCTGCAGGTTTTTTTGAGTAGTCCTATCTGTCCTTCCCTTCTTTTCAGTCTTAACGGGAGAAGGAGCAGGTGGCTTGATCCCACTCAGCTTTTTGGCTGTGTGCTCCTCAGGAGATGATCGGCACTGGGCCAGTTTTTGGATCTGTGGAGGGAGCAGAAAACATCACACATTTGGATCTGTCCAGCACAATTATACACTGCAATAAGCTGCTATTACAAGTCGATCCATCCTCTGTTGAAAACAACAGGATTGTTTTTGACCATTTGTTCATAAGTAGACTTTAATTTATTCAAGCATACATTTCTCTTCTGTTTATTAAAATGTCAGAAATAACAGGAGAAGTGTGTAAATTCTTCAGTGAGGTAATACCAGCTCCACTTAACTACATGCAGCTGAAAAACTGCCTCAAATACATTAAAATACTTTAAAATACTCAAAATAATTTTATCCATCACTATTTTTAAGTGGATCTGATGCACACTTTTTTATTACTGGACTCTGCTTCATCTTTTGGCTCTTACCCTCACAAGCAGTGACCACAGAGGATGGATCCGCATATTTGATTTGGCAAAGATTTTTACCCTGGATGCCTTTCCCAAATGCAACCTCCCAGAAATCTGTCTCCCCTCCTGGTTTTGAACCAGACATCTTTTGCATGTAATGTGCACATGTTAACCACTACACCATGGAGGAACTGACTTTTACAGACATGGAATTCATTATTTGAAACTTTGCTTGATATAGGCATTCACCAATGACAACTGGTGGGCTGTCAATGGTGAATGCTTACTGCTGTTTTAAAGCACTTTAAAAGATGATTAGATGATTATTTTCAATGCATCAGATCCAGTTTCTCATTGTGTTACTGAAAATTGTTACAAATCAATCCCCTTTAAGTTGTACCAACTTGTAGGTCACATACCATCCTCTGGTGTTTGCGGAGCTTGGTGATCTGAGATCCTTTATCCTCCATCCTGGTGACCAGCAGCTCCAATTCTCTCTGGAGGTCCTGCCTCTGCTCCGGATTTTGAGCTCCGTCGATCTGACGCACCAACTCCTGATGCTCACTGACAAAGGTGACAAATATAAAACAACTTTAATAAAAGGTTCACTAACATGTCCAAAAAACTCTGAATAAAGAACTTAAATTATGTTAAATACGCCTTCATTCCTAATGCAGCTCACTGGTTGGCACTACTCACAAGCTCATCTGTCCCAGCTCATCCTGCAGAGCAAGGAGCAGGTCGGCGAGTGAGCTTAGCGATGGGTCAACGTGCAGCCTGTTAGGCTTCTCTGACGAATCAGAGGAAGATGAAGAAAAGTCCTTTTGAAGGTTTTTCTTCACTCCGCAGCCAGACCTGTGGAGTGCACTCACTCGCTGGCACAGCTGTGGCTGGTGGTGCTTCATCATGTGAAGGATACTTTGCACGTTGGCATGAACCGAATGGCTTGGGCTCGTCGACTAGAGACGGGAATGAAAAGAATCAAAGTAAGAACAAACAACAACAAAAAAAAGAAGTGCAGAAAATTATAAGTGACTTACTGTTCCTGCAACAAAGGGCATTTTCTTGTGCATCGGGCTCTTTGGTAGCAGTTCGGCAGGTTTAGAGGTTTTCTGAGGAAGAAGACAGCTCTCATCACTGCTACATCCAAAGAAATCTCTGTCTCCTTAAATAAATGCCTAAAATAATTTTTTATATTGGTCAGAAAAGTACCCTTACGCTCTTTTTTGTTTTCTTCTTTGGCTTTGTCTCTTCAGAAGTTGGCAGAGATGGTCGAAGGCTGACATCAAACTCTCGTTGCAGCTGCAGTAGTCACAGCAAATCAATGCTTCTTAAGAGTATTTAGTCAAATTTGCCAATCAGCAGCTTTATTGTTGAATATGTGCTGAAAGTTGTGGCGTGGGCAATTTAAAAAAAAGTTGTGTCTCTAGTTAGCATTTGTTTCTTAACAAGTGCAATCCAAAAACTGACTAACCTCCTCCGCCTTCTCCTGCACGAGTTTACGCTCGTGCTCTTCTTTCAGCAGTTTCTGCTCCAGGATGGAAAGCTTCATCTGAAAATTTATCGCAGCGACACACCCTGAAATAATGAACTTTTGGCAATAAGCATTCTGACTAATGAATTAGAGATAAGCAGCACTGGGAAACCTTAGGTTACCTCTGCCAGAGTTTGGGTTCTGCTCAGTTTGAGACACTCTGACTCGAGTTTTTCCAGCTTCTCTCGCTGAATTTGGCTGTTTGAGCTGCTCTTTTGCTCGCTCTGCAGAGAAGCCTTGAGGGGATTAAAGGTGGCAGGGGGAATATGTGGTTCTTTATGTTACTTACATCCAGAAATGTGAGAAACAAATACGTGATGATCATGCTTATAGCTGGGATCTACTTTCAAATGACTTTTTGATTCGTAGTATTCTGAGCTACCTGATTTTCCATTAGAGCGCTCCTCTCTTTTTTGGCATTTTCAACCATTTTCCTCATGTAGTCCAGCTGCTTCTCGAGAACCTTACAGCGAGCTTCTGCAGACTGCAGTTTTGAGTCCAGTTCTGTCATTATAAAGCAGAGAACAAACTAATCAATCAGTTAAATGGAGCTGCCAGATCATAGTGACCCACAGTACCCTGTTTCCTTGTTGCTTTCTATTCTTTGTCGCTTACCTCTCCTGGCAGAGTTATCCGTCCCAGGCAGGCTGTCTGCTGTCTGACTGTACAATGTTGTAACTTGCGGATGCTTTTGAGCATCATGGGAGAACTGCTGGTAGCTCTGCTCTGCTTGCATCCTTTCCAGCTCCAGCCGCCTAATTTTCTCCTGAAGGGTCTTCAGTGCATCAACCACGGCTGATGAAGAGTAAACAACAATACAAAGACATACTAGGTAACTGTAACAGAAAGCAGTCTGCCCCCTCCCCCCTCAAAAAAAACAAAAAACTCCCACTGTAAGAGACAAATAGCTCATGATAATGAATGCGTCATACCTTTGCTATCAATATTTGGTCTGCTCTGGGAAACTGAGCTGCTGGCCATGTGTGTGCCCATGCTGAAAGACGAGTGTGCATGGGGCTCCGGCTCTCGTGAAGGTTTCACTATCCTGTCTGGTGGCTGGTAGTAGCTTCCAATGTAACTGTTCTTGGAAGGTGAGTCTAAAATCTATACACAACAAGAGGAGGTTGTTTTGGAAACAAATTAATATTTTCATTATCAATAAAATGCCAAGTTTGTAAAATTATAGACAAAAAATGTAAGTGTATACGAGTCCGATTTTTAACAATTTTGAACCTTGAGAATAAATTTGAAATGCGGAGACTAAAATCGGCTCCTGATTACCACACTGTGAAAAAAGAGAAATAATTTTCTTTTTACTAAAAATGATTTGTATGTGCAGTTTGCAGAAATATTGCAATTTTGCATCTGTGTGCTAAAAGTAATGGTTTCATTTTAAATTACAACATTATTCCTAAAGTGCACAGCTCAAAAACAGGGAATACATGATCAACACAGTATAACACAAAGTTAGTTACACTTCACACTTCAGGGAAATTAATCTGTTTGATTAGGAAGGATAAACCATTGCTTTGCTACAAATGAAAGTGACAACAGGTGACTGCCTTCAACATCATAGGTTAAGACTTGACTTCATTCTCAAAATGAGTATTATAGATTATTATAGAGACGAGTTGCTATCCCAAGCGAAGAAGTTCAAGTATCCCGAGGTCTTGTTAAGACTGACTGATGCAGTGTCTGCATCACCGGTCCATTGTGGTAAAGTGAGAGCTGAACATAAAAACAAAGCTATTGATTTACCAGTCAATCTACATCCCCACCCTTACCTATGGTCACGAGCTCTGAATAGTGACCAAAAGATCAGGAGGTACTGAGAATAGAGCCTCATCCACATCGAAATGAGACAGCTTAGGTGGTTCAGAATGCCTCCTGGGAGAGGTTTTCCACGCATGTCCTACTGAAAGTTAAAAGGATGCCCTGGGGTAAGCCCAGGACACGCTAGAAAGATTACATCTCTCAGCTGCCTTGGGAATGTCTCGGTGCTCTCAGGCCTAGATGAGCTGGAGGGGGTGGCAGGGGAGACGGAGATCTGGGCTCATCTGCTTAGGCTCATGCGCCCACGACCCCGTTCCACCTTCACCACGAACCGTCTCTGTGGTTTTTCGCTTTTCCTCATCCATATATTTGTTTGGTAAACAGTAAATACTGATTAAAAAAAACAAACAAACAACTTTCTGTTTTCGGTGCAATTTCCGTGCACTTGCCACACAAAGTGAACAGTAACCGAATCAACAAGTGTTAATCGATTACTCAACTGTACCCCAGTACAGCCAGCTTTCTGCAACAAGGAGGCCGTTTGTAGCCCTAAAAGCTCCACAACAGCAAACATAATAATAATCCAATGTATTTACAAACACCACCCACTGCAAGGACCATTGGCTCCTTTAGGTAGATACCCGTAAAACAAACCAAAAAGATGGTTAAGTGGCAACTTGGCGAAAGTAAACAAGGCAGCGCTAACGCGTTAGCCACACCTGCTGCTAACGGCTGATTTACAGACGTTACCTGATCGTGGTACGTCTCCATTTTGCCCCACAGCGAATGATGAGTGCTTCCAAACTAATCATGCGTCTGTCTTTAACGATCCCAGGCTACTTTCATAAGTTAAAATGACTTGTAAGACACCAGCTAACTGACTCCAGCTGTCCTGTCACCAAGAGACAGTCCGGACTTTTTAAATTTCCCTCCTCTTTGCCGCCCTCCACACTGTGGTTCCGCCTGCGCACTCTTAGTTCCTCCCTCCCCACCGCCGCAGATTGTTCCAGACTTTTCTCTGCTGGTTAAGAAATATATTATATTTCCATATCTTTTGCTAATTAAATACTATAAGGGTAAAAGGAAACTTAAGCTTGTCCTTATTCTTTACTCCAACATTCTAATTTACTTCACTGTTATTTCAGTTATTCTTTTTGGGTTTCAGTAGACTGGCATAACTACTTTGAGCTGTATATGACAATTTTAGCATTTTTAAAAATCCGATCATGACACACACATACGGTGTCACTTAATTTTCTTTGTGGAACAGTTTCCAGTATTTTCAGCAAAATCAATAAAGACTGTGACCTTTTGGTGATAAGTATGGCATTAGACAAGCTCACCTTCTATAGACTAAAATAAAATTATCCTTTAAATCTTATTTTTCTTGCTGTTCCCTTTAGGGGTTGCCACAGCAAATTATCTGCCTCCACCTCATCCTATCTCTACCATCATCTGTCATGCCAACCACCACACCATGAACGTTGACTGTGGTATTCCCAATGAAAATCTTGGCATCTTCAACACTGCCATTCAAGAGGTCTCTCTACCATCTTTTAAAACTTCCCTTTCACTCTTGCTGCTATATTTCTGTCACAAATCTCCCCAGACACTTGTTTCCACCCACTTCACCCTGCCTGCCCTCTCTTCTTTACCTCTCTGCTGGGGTGGATTGATGGGATTTCTGGGTATGTGCAAAGGGCCCATGTACAGTTAGGGGCCTATCCAAGATGCAGATGTTAGTTGTCAGAGAGGAAGGACAACAACAGGAATATTATAGTTACATACAAACATAGTATAACAGATGAACAAGCTCTAGGTGCTACATTTTCCATTTAATATAAGGTACCCTAGAGTGTTTAATGATGTTGTATTGTGATAGTTGCTTTTCATTGTTTTGTTAAGGTACCATGCTCTCCATTTCGAACTATTCTGTGTACATGTTTGCACATATAATGATTCTGAACTTCTTTTTAGATGCAAGGTATTTAATCAGTTAACTCTGCAAGGGTGCACAACAGGCAACTGGTAAGATGTAGGTGGACTTTTCAGTTATCTAATGTGTGGCCTTTTCACTCACTTTATCTAAGTCCCCAAGTCAGTATAGCTGGAATGCATGCTGCACTGATCACTGCATAGCCACACACAACCTCCAAAATACCAACACAATCAGTAGGCTGGAGTATGTACACGATAAACTGATTTGTTTCTGCTTGTTGACTTTTTTATGTTTCCCCAGGTTGTGGTGAGTTAATAAAATGTCGTTAGCACTGTAAGTCAATCACACTGTCAACATTTGCACATGCAAATACTCTCTTGCAGCAATAAGCAGCATGTGTGACAGTCCTTCTGCATTACTATTTTTTTTTCTCATTTGCAACAAACACATTTTTTTTTTCGTTTTACCATACTTGAAGTGAGGTACATGGCACTTCGTTCTTATGTTGAGATTGATATTTTAATGGTATGGGCTGTATCAGTGTGCAAATTTTTATTAAAGTTAAGAAAATCAAATGGAAACATACAACATATCCACCTCTTTATGTCTTTCTGCTTGTCTGTCATTTCTGATAAACAAGTGAAAGGGGGGCTGCTGCTGCTGAATAAGGGGATGATGGGAGATGTAGTTGCTAAGCGCTACAGTCAAATAGAGAACCTAGGCGGATAAAGAATACAATCCCCATAAACGCTTCCCCCACGAGCACAGGAAACCGCCCACCAACCAATCATCTCCCAGAACCTCCCCGAATGAGTTCGGCTTGGGATGATTGGCTAATTTGCCCTGCCAATCAAACCTTTACCCTGAAGTTGTTACCTCCTCTTGTTTCTACGCTGGAACCAGCGTTACTGGACAGTGCCGAGGCAAGGCGTCCTGTAACAGGAGAGAGACACCAAACAATGTGGATAAAGTGAGTGTTTTAGAATGACACTGTTTGTTTTTCAGTCTCAGTGAAAGGTTTGTGTGTGGGAATTTTTTTAAAGACCGGCGGTGGGGGCTTTAGTGCCGTCTTTGTTAATGGGCAGCTTGAAAGCCCTGGCACGAAGAAAAGAGAGATAAACAAGCAGAGAGAGATTGAATGGATTTCACTGATGTGCCAAGTTAATATCAAAGTTAAAAGCCGTTAAATCATAAACCAGTGTTAGTATTTGCGAAATCAAATGATGTGGCAGTGAATCTAATTGCTCTGTCTGTGTTCAAATCATGTTTTGTTGTTTTGAAAGTTGCTAACAAAGATTAGCAGAATCATGTGGATTTAAATCACGGATGCAGCTATTGCTTTTTAAAAATCTGTTTAAAACATGTGGTTAAACCTCATTATATTAGATTTTCTGCAAATCTGAGCAGTATATGTTCAGAGAATGATCTGGCTATATGCTGAAATGCATGGTGTGATGATATGCTTTAGATGTGTAGTTGATTTATGCATTGATTTATCTCTTCTCCACAGTGTTACATTACACACTGGTACAGTACTGACATAAATTTTCACACCCTTTCTTAGGGCAGTAATGTGGTATAAGAATGGAAGTAGATGGAGGATGTACTTCTATTGCTCTTCCCTGGTGCTGAGAGAGACATTTTTGTTTTCCCTGGTAGAGCAGGGGACCCATGAACCAAGGGCCATAGTCCTTACAACAGCGGCTTCAGTTTGATGCTGTGTGTCACTCACCCTCTCTCTCTTTCCCTACTTCCCCCCCCTGCCAAAAGCCAAAAATCCATTAGCTGTAATATCCAAATTATGGCAAATGAATTCATGAGATATAGGGTGATATATCTGTGTCTTTTATAAGCAGTTCATGTTATTAGTTGGAGTCAAATTTCTCTGATGCTACATCTAAAAGCATAATGCACTTGCATTAACAAACAGGTGATGCAAGCCCTTTCCTGTCCTGTTTATTCGTAGCCTTTTGTGAGACAGCACAAACGGTAGGCCCGCATAAACTGATGGAGGTGCAGGACCAGGAGTCTGTGGGGAGATGGGACAGGCTGGGGAGCCGGGATCCCAGCTCCAGAGCTGATGCGATAGAGAACATCTGCCAGGAGGTCATGCGGAAAGTGGAAACCATTGGGCCCATACCGCCGGTGGCCCCTCTGTCCCCGGCTTCAGGGAGTCCTCCAGGCAACGATCTGAATGACATCCTGGCCCATGTCCTTATGCTCTCCAGACGGTGTCCCTTTGAAGATGTCAGGGAGCGTTGCTCTCAGCTTCTGCGAAACATCCAGGTAAGAGAGTCGTGGTTTTATGATGGTGAGCTGTGTTGCACTACGCTGCACCCGACTGTGATATGTCCTCTAGAGCCAGTGTTTATTGTATTGCTCTGCTGCCATCTCCCTCTCTTCACCTCTTCATAAGCATTGCAAACACTGTGGTTTAGTAAAAAGCTCAGTGTGACCGCTGCATGGTTTGTTAAAGAGATTACAGTCAGTCACACAATGATACACAAAAATATAGCTGTCCGAACCTTTCAACACGCTGCCAATCATTTTTACGGTGAGATTTAAACTAAACTGATAATCACTGGTTGATTAAGATTTGTCTTTAGCATTAAAGCTAGACATAAGATTTAAGTTTTTTTAGGGCAGAATTTGAAAACAAATTTCTTTGGCTCGTGGCTTACACACATTGAGTTCTTCCAATAAAAATATTGACACTGCACATAGTGTATGTGGGCTTTCTCAGAGAGTTAAGACGTATTTACTGAAAATAAGTAACGCTCTCCATTATTAACAAAACACAGTGTGACACAGCATTTTTGTTTTCACTTAGGCTTTTTTTCTTTTTCTTTTCAGCTCCGTTAAGTCTGCCTGTGTTGATTTTTAAATAAATATCCTGGTCATTGTTGTGTAGCAGGTGGCAGTGAATCGAGAAAAAAAATATTATATTGAAGCTGTCTGACTTGGACATGGATACATGGTGCTCAGTGAATCCTGAAAACAAAAATCTGTGGGAGAAATGCGCAATGGTGGATTTGGGGCAGGATAACACGCCATGTCAAGTCATCTCAGACTGGTTTCTTGGACATGACAATGAGTTCGCTGTACTCTAATGGCTTCCACAGTTCTAGAGAGATGTGCTAGAACAAGAGATTCGCATCATGGACGTGCAGCCAGCAAATCTGCAGCAATTGTGTGATGCAATCGTGTCAACATTGGGCAGAATCTCTGAGGAACGTTTCCAGCACCTTGTTGAATTTATGCAGAATTTATGTAGTTCTGAAGGCAAAAAGAGGTCCAGTCCAGTACTTTTTAGGTGTACTTAACAAAAAGGTTGGTGACTGTATCTGTAATACATGTATATTTATAATAAATATTGTGCTGGGTTTATTTTGTTTTGCCACTATTAGCTATAGAGAATGAAATATTATACTTATCCTGGGTCTACCCTTGTGTTTGCTGTGGCCTGTTCCACTTAATGATTCCTGTAATAACAAACAAACACTAACCCCAGTAGCTTTGGATGGCCTGACATGTTGTTATTCTGAGGAAATGGGGTGTTTGGCCGTGGCTTTAGTTCCTGTTTGTGCGGAAGTGTTTTTTGAAGATGGAGGCGAGGGGCAGGCAGAGATGAGAACGGGAGAAAGCTGCTTTGCGGGTTTAGCTGTCTACCACGGTACGCGCCGTCTGGTATTTCTGAATTATGCTAAGCTGCATTTGGGCACAGCTTGCCAAAGGTTGCATTTATGAGCCCACAGTTAGCTGATGTAGCTGTGGTCCCATGGTGGGAGATCCCTCCTGACGCACACACACACACCTTTCTCACATTGTCAGGGTTGGAGGGGCTAAAGGGAGGGGTGCTCTGGCTCAGACAGCCTTTAATTCCAGCAGATCCGCTGATTAAAGACAAAATCTTTGAAAGCACAGACAGTCTTTTCCTCGTGTCCTCTAGAGGAGGAAGGCATCCTGCTTAGTGAGAATAATATACTCTAAAACCCACATGGCTCGCTTAGCTGTGGGTTGGAGCAATTTTCTGCTTGTTT